TCCCGGTGATTGGCCCAAAGTCTCCCAGTTACCTTTTGTGCCTAAGGTAGGACTAGAACTCCCCGTCTCCCGGTGATTGGTCCAAAGTCTCCCAGTTACCTTTTGTGCCTAAGGCAGGACTAGAATTCCCAGTCTCCTGGTGATTGGCCCAAAGTCTCCCAGTTACCTTTTGTGCCTAAGGCAGGACTAGAACTCCCCGTCTCCCGGTGATTGGTCCAAAGTCTCCCAGTTACCTTTCCTGCCTAAGGCAGCACTAGAACTCCCAGTCTCCTGGTGATTGGCCCAAAGTCTCCCAGTTACCTTTTGTGCCTAAGGCAGGACTAGAACTCCCCGTCTCCTGGTGATTGGCCCAAAGTCTCCCAGTTACCTTTCCTGCCTAAGGCAGGAGTAGAACTCCCCGTCTCCCGGTGATTGGTCCAAAGTCTCCCAGTTACCTTTCCTGCCTAAGGCAGCACTAGAACTCCCAGTCTCCTGGTGATTGGCCCAAAGTCTCCCAGTTACCTTTTGTGCCTAAGGCAGGACTAGAACTCCCCGTCTCCCGGTGATTGGTCCAAAGTCTCCCAGTTACCTTTCCTGCCTAAGGCAGCACTAGAACTCCCAGTCTCCTGGTGATTGGCCCAAAGTCTCCCAGTTACCTTTTGTGCCTAAGGCAGGACTAGAGCTCCCCGTCTCCCGGTGATTGGTCCAAAGTCTCCCAGTTACCTTTCCTGCCTAAGACGGGACTAGAACTCCCTGTGTCCTGGTGATTGGCCCAAAGTCTCCCAGTTGCCCTTCGGGCCTAAGACGGGACTAGAACTCCCGGTCTCCTGGTTTCTAAACCATTACAACAAACTGGCTCAGATCTAGGTGCAGAACTGGTCCTGATTCAGCGTAGCCCCAAAGTAGCTTCAAACCTTCACGCAATACAAAAGTGTGAACAAAACAAGACACCTAATGCTGTCCCCTCTGGCCATGATTAAGTGTTGATTATGGCTTCGGAGCACCTCATTAACTTCCATTATTGGTTTATTAACCTCTACCCCCAGGGTTTAGCGTGCCAGTTAATAAAAACAGTTCCTCAATTACATTTTGTAAGACATCCTTGGTCTGTTGGAATGGTATCTATACATAATGCATTCAGTTACAGGCCGTCCTTGACTTACAACCGCAACTGGGACCGGAATGTGAATTGCTAAGTGAGGTAGTTGTTAAGTGAGTCAAACCTGCAGTTGTTAAATCAATCAGGTGTCATTAAGCAAACCTTCCCCCATTGACTTGTGGGAAACGGCTAGGAAGATTGCAAATGTCAAACATGTAACACCTAGTCACCCAGCTGCCTTTCGTGTTTAAAGTGGGACTAGAACTCCCTGTCTCCTGGTGATGGGACTAGAATTCCCAGTCTCCTGGTGATTGCCCCAAGTCTCCCAGTTGTCTTTCATGCCTAAGGCGGGACTAGAACTCCCTGTCTCCTGGTGGTTGGCCCAAAGTCTCCCAGTTACCTTTCATGCCTAAGGTGGGACTAGAACTCCCCGTCTCCTGGTGATTGGTCCAAAGTCTCCCAGTTACCTTTCATGCCTAAGGTGGGACTAGAACTCCCTGTGTCCTGGTGATTGGTCCAAAGTCTCCCAGTTACCTTTCATGCCTAAGGCGGGGCTAGAACTCACTGTCTCCTGGTGATTGGCCCAAAGTCTCCCAGTTACCTTCCATGCTTAAGGTGAGACTAGAACCCCCAGTCTCCTGGTGATTGCCCCAAAGTCTCCCACTTGCCTAAGGCAGGACTAGAATTCCCAGTCTCCTGGTGGTTG